TGCAACTCAGCATTCTTTGTCCTCCAAACACGACGAGTTGAGTTTTTACCAAAAAGTTCTATTTTGGTTTCATCTGACCATATGACATTCTCCCAACCCTCTTCTGGATCATCCAAATGCACTCTAACAAACTTCAGACGGGCCTGGACATGTACTGGCTTAACATTTTTACATTTACATTTTAGTCATTTAGCAGACGCTCTTATCCAGAGCGACTTACAGTTAGTGAATATTTTTATTTTTTTATACTGGCCCCCCGTGGGAATCGAACCCACAACCCTGGCGTTGCAAACGCCATGCTCTATCAACTGAGCTACATCCCTGCCGGCCATTCCCTCCCCTCCCCGACGCTGGGCCAATTGTGCGCCGCCCATGAGTCTCCTGGTCGCGGCCGGCTGCGACAGAGCCTGGATTCGAACCAGGATCTCTAGTGGCACAGTTAGCACTGCGATGCAGATTTGAGTCCCTGGCGGCGTAGTGTGTTACTGATGGTAGGCTTTGTTACTTTGGTCCCAGCTCTCTGCAGGTCATTCACTAGGTCCCCCCGTGTGGTTCTGTGATTTTTGCTCACCGTTCTTGTGATCATTTTGACCCCATGGGGTGAGATCTTGCGTGGAGCCCCAGATCGAGGGAGATTATCAGTGGTCTTGTATGTCTTCCATTTCCTAATAATTGCTCCCACAGTTGATTTCTTCAAACCAAGCTGCTTACCTATTGCAGATTCAGTCTTCCCAGCCTGGTGCAGGTCTACAATTTTGTTTCTGGTGTCCTTTGACAGCTCTTTGGTCTTGGCCATAGTGGAGTTTGGAGTGTGACTGTTTGAGGTTGTGGACAGGTGTCTTTTATACTGATAACAAGTTCAAACAGGTGCCATTAATACAGGTAACGAGTGGAGGACAGAGGAGCCTCTTAAAGAAGAAGTTACAGGTCTGTGAGAGCCAAAAATCTTGCTTGTTTGTAGGTGACCAAATACTTATTTTCCACCATAATTTGCAAATAAATTCATAAAAAATCCTACAATTTTTTTTCTCAATTTGTCTGTCATAGTTGACGTGTACCTATGATGAAAATTACAGGCCTCTCTCATCTTTTTAAGTGGGAGAACTTGCACAATTGGTGGCTGACTAAATACTTTTTTTCCCCATTGTATCTTATTTATCACACACATACAGCATACAGAGCCATTGAGTGGAAAATCTGTCAGACCTTGCTGCAGCATCTTGTGGTGCTTTCAAGACAACTGGGAACTCTGAAAAATATGAGATCAACTCATGATGTCAGTGATCTTCAGGTCCGAAAGTCAACTCTAGAGAGAGGCCCGAGTTCCTGAGTTGGACGACCGTTCAAAATGATTTTTCCCAAACGGGGCTTGTTTTTTACCCCCAGTTCCCAGTTGTCTTGAACGCACTGAAGTCGGAGATATCCAATTTTCCCGTTTTTTTTAACGCTGCATCAAACGGCAACGGAAGGCAGGCTTCATCAGCGCATCACACATCATTTTGCAATGTGCTGGAGGCTCATTTTTTGAAAACATGAATTTTGTACATATATCATGTATTTAAAAAACATACTTAACTGTTTGAAACCTGAAGGTTTTAATAGATATGAGGCATGTCTTACCTTGCTTCAAATTAGCCTATTAAGTTAGATCTCCTCTTTCTAAATTTCGAACTGATATTTTCATCTCTGTCACATCAACCGCTTGCATGTGCAGTGCCCTTTCGACAACAGTGTTTTCCCGCCAATTGCATTATGGAACAAACATTTGCGCGTAGCCTACTGCCTTGTGTGCATTGCTGCACTTATAATGTTAAGAAATAATAGTTTATCAACTTTAAGCTATGTGGGAAATTATTCTTTATATTTTAGATGTGCTGTTAGCTTAATAAGAAAGCATTAATGATTGAACATAAAAGGTTTGTACTGTACTGATATAAATTGTTTAACCTAACAAGCTGTGATTAATGTGAGGAGCTGTTAGGGAGTAGGGGGAGATAAGGCTTGTGTCTCACACAGACACAAACACTGCCTCTTTGTTAGAACGCTCAAGGACATGTGTTCTGCTACAAAGATGTCTGAGACTGCTGACTCTCTGGACAAGCTGCAGATAACAACTTATGCCTGGCAACAGTGAAGCGCCAAGGGTCTGGGACAAGCCTGTGCGCCAACGATAGGCTGAGTAAGTCTAAACCACGCTCAGTCTCTACTCTGGTAGGCCAGCAGGGAGCGGGAACTATCTCTGTCAGAGTATTTAAAGAAGAACTTATAACAATGGACCAGTTCTCTGTCTGCCCTGCGTGGTTTTTCAGTGGACCCGTATATACGAACATCATATTTACCATTGAAGTGTTTTGCATTAATTAAAATACTAATCTATTTTAGAAGACGTGTATTGACCTCTTTTTGTTCCAATACCAGATTTGAATTGACGCAACTTATCAGCTAAATGTTTTGATCTATTGCATCAGACTCATTGCTTTTAACGTTTTTTTATGTAGCCTAGAGCTAGCCCTACTGGTTGTATGAATTTGGGATCCATCTTCCCCCAAATGTCTGAGACTGTTTGGAATAGGCTATTTCTTTCTCGACAAGCTGACCAATAGAATAGGTAGCCTAAACTTTTCTACTATAGTAGATTCACATAGGATAGTGATTTTGCTGTTTGTTACTCATCTTGAGCTGAGGAAAAGTAAATGTCGACAGTTATTCTAACATGTTCAAAGTGCACATGAGAATTTGGTATGAAAGACCGCACTGGATGTCCAGGATGCATGTTCTGTTAATGAATTACCATGATATTCCAAATGTGACTTCTGTCATTCTGATCACTGTGGGCCGGCGATCTGGACGTCCTAATCAGGTTATGCACCCAATGCATATGGGTCAGGTACATTTCTCAAATGTCTGGTAAATTAAAATGTTGCCGGTCAAATGTCCTGCGCCACATTTTCCTAACAGAAACCCTGCTACACAGACTCGCGATGTTGTGTCCCAAACTAAACTAGCCTAAATCAAACCGCTATGCAAGCTAGCTACTTAGCTAGCACGATATTTACCTTGATTGAAATTCGATGAAGCTCCATAGTTTGCCGCCCCACAGAGCTAGAAACTTTGCAATGTTGTTGCTACTGTAATTTATGTTCAGTTTCAGTCAACTAGCTAAACATTTGCAACTTTTTTATATCAATTTTGCAACACTACAGATGCTTGACTAGTAAGCCTTCAGGGTTGTCACTAGTTACCGCCGACTACTAACACTGAATTCTGGGATTTGTAGTGCAGACAAACTACAACCAGAGAAATTAGCACAGATAGAATAATGAGCCAGATGTTTCACCGAATGTTTAGATCTGAAGCAACCGGTTGCCATTTCCACTCACCACATACGGTGATGAGAGGAAGCTCAGGGGCCGACAGTGGGAGAAGATGGAGCGAGATGGATTTTGGCCGACACTCATTTCTCATCGATTAAACTTTTGATCTCAATAGTTTTCTGTTCCCAAAACTAGAATCTGTTACGAACAGAGTAGATTACGTTTTGTAGACTTTACCCTTTACCAAAGTTTCTAAAAAAAAAAAGTGCGTTGTTTCGAAGCGCATTTCACAAAGTAGGCGTTCCATAACGGAAAAACGCAAATATATGCTAGAACGCGCCAATAGGATCTCACTATCTCATGCTTGTCCTGCCGACTATGATTAATTCGCTTCCATTGTGAATGGGTGGAAGATGGTAGCCTAGCTGTTAGAGCGTTGGGCTATTAACCGAGCCAACATGGTTGATGTGTTGACGTGCCCTTGAGCAAGGCACTTAACCCTAATTTGCTCCAGGGGTACTGTACTGCTATGGCAGACCCTATAAAGCAACACATTTCACTGTACCTATCCAGTGTGTGACAATAAAACTTCTTATTTAGTTATACAAATCTTTGATAAAGGTTAGAGTACCTACATGAAAATGTATATAACTGCATCCCACATTTAATTTAAGTGCATACTTCACTTTCAATCACTTCTAACCTGACAAGATAACACAAATTAACTTAAATTCTTTCAAAAATGTCATTTTTTATTTGTTTAATGTAATGTTAAGAATGTAGTCCTGTCAACATAGAAATAAACCCATAATGCACCCTTAGTTATAAAGATCCATGTGAGCTGGTTAGGTGAGCATTATACTCTTTCTTCCGACATTTCACTTGAACCATATTGAGCAGGAAAAAGACAAGAAAGCTATTGTCCTTTCATGGTGTTGAGGAGAAAGACAAGGCCATTTTCAAAAATCCTCATTCCTTATATATTTCCTTGCTATATCTAAAACACTCAAGTCTTATTATATTCTCAGAATCTATCTAAACCCCTACTCACTCTAGCCTGTTCCTATACTGTATGTGTCACAAAGAGTTGGTTACAGAACATTCAGCATAGGACCAGGCTATCACCCCACCAACCTAAGTCTTGGCCCATTGTTTGTGCTGTGGCCAACTCTTCCACACAGAGAGGAGTTGGCTACAGCACAAACAGGCTAATCCTACCCCAACCCACCTGTTCTGACGCAATTCAAACAGCTAGGGTTCAGTGATAATATTCATTTGTAATTGTGTCCATTGGTAGAATCAGAGGCCTTTCCCTGCCCTTTGTTTGGCAGTATGACAGTCAGTGCCTGTAGTCGTCTCTCTCTATTGGTCTCCCTGAGAGGGTCCCTGCTACTGATCCAAAGGGTTCAGTTGAAGAGACGTTCTAGAATGCTTGATTTGATATGAAGTTCGTCATCTCATCAGACAGGGCCTGTATTCATGCAACATCTCAAAGTAGGAGTTCTGATCTAGGATCAGTTTAGCCTTTTAGATCATTATGAATAAGATTACATGGGGGGGGGGGGGGGGGGCACCTGATCCTAGACCAGCACTCCAACTCTGAGATGCTTTATGAATACATGCTCTGGACTGCGTATGTATAATTGGTCTCGTCGTCGTATCCAATCCCTCAGTTCTTCATCTAGTTTAGTCCTCTGCCTTGGCCTCAATCTCTCCATCCTCGTCATCTCCGTCCACCTCAGCGTTCTCTCTCTCCAGTTGTTCCAGCTGGCGGGCCAGCTCTGTCTCATCTATGTCTGTTACAACCTTGGCCTAGAGGGGAGGAAAACAAACAGGAAGACATGAACAAATGGGCATTGAAAGCACAATGTCCTGAACAATGTTGCTGTTTTTAATACTGTTTTAATGTGAGATCTATGGTGAGTAAGATTTCCAATGTATGTATTACATATGGCAGGGGTTTCAAACAAAAGTTAACCCCCTCTTTCTATAGTGTATTAAAATACAGCAAAAATATGCATTTCTGCAAATTGGGACAATAAAGTTTTATTGTACTGACCTCCATCTGGATGTTAAAGACTCCTCGCTTCTCTTCAATCTTCTCTTTGATGGCAGCCATGGCCTGGTTGAGGACAGAGAGACCCTCTGTACGCTCCATTGTGGTGGTGGTCATGACGTAGCGTGGCGGCGCTATCAGATTAATCTGTCAGAGACCCAAAGACACACAGGTTTAAAGGGATAAATCATGTGTTGGACTATGTTGTTGTGATACATAGAGGCTTTTCCCAGACACAGTTCGTGGACTAAAAGTCATTTTCAATGGATGCTTTTTAGTCTAGTACAGTGGTATTCAAAGTCGGGGTTGGGAACTGCAGTGATGTAAAAATAAAATATATTTAAAAAAAATTAGTAAATACATTCTTCTAAAGAAAAAGGGGTCCCCAGAAATTCTGGTAGAAAAAATGGGTTCCCTACTGAAAAAATGTGAATACCACTGATCTAGGAATATACTATGTTTAATCTGGGTCCGGAAAACCGGACTGTTGAGGGGTGTTTGTTGTTGTTTTATTTACCTTGATGGGCATGGCGTCTGTAGAGCAGCCCAGCCCCGCCCTCAACGCTTCTTTGACAGCATCAATCCCCTCATACCCGTAACAGGCCACCTCAATGTCTGCGGGAGAGATGGTTGTTGGCTTAAGTGGGTTCCCCAAAATATTATTCTAACACATTACTATATAATGCTATATCAAAATTCACCAAGATACTGCTGGGTATATGATGTACATGTACTCAGGTAAGCGTTAGGTGTACATACCTGCCCTGATTTTGACAGCTTGTGGGGTGAGTCTTCTGTTGATGTTGTCAATGAGGACAGACTTCTCCTCCTCTGTCAGGTCCAGACAATCTAAAACGGATGGGTCCCTGTGGGCCAAAACACCAGTCATATTAACACACTCAATTGTGGGAGGTGTGAAGTGTCTAAACAAGAGAATCCCCTCCACTAACCCTGACCAGGTTGTCAGTACTTACGCCACAGCCTGTTTGAAGACATCATAGGCTCCGTATCCAGGCCGCTTGTACTTCTCATCAAACACCCAGGCGGTGCGTGTGAACAGGCTATCCAGCTGCTCATCTTTGGTGTACTCCAGCACCTCAGCCACATGCCTCAATATGCTGTACACCTGTCATGACAGAAGACACACAGGTCTAGGTTCCCCTCCAGAAATAATATCTGAATATATCAGTTGACAACACATCTAAGAGTACCATAACCCTTCTGCATTTTCAGCCCACGGCAAAATGTTATATTTTACTAGGGTTGTTCCACCAATTCGGTGCCTTTTGAGAAGTGTAACTTGGTCAAAAAAACATTGATTTCATCTAATTTTAACATTGTCATAAATAGCATATGTTCAACTTAATAAAAAATACGTTTTCCAATCTCAAGAGGTTCAATCAATAAAAATGACTATAGTAAGTTTGAGGAAGAATGTACTTACGAGTGTGATATGTGGTTGTCTCACCTAGGTATTTTTAGAAGAATGCACTAACTTTAAGTCGCTCTGGATAAGAGCATCTACTAAATGACTCAAATGTAAATGGCAAATAAAGTAACAGGATTGACCGTAACAGGATTGACGATTTAATCTTAAATCACCCATAAATCCCTTTGTGACAGGGGGAATAGAAGCTTGTTGTGTGCAAAATGGAGTGGCAATTGAATGAAAGCTTCACAAAAATGTTTTTTTGTTAAAACATTTCTAGCCTGTCTAACTACAGGTAATGACCCACTCAGTTTCCCACCACAAAACACCAGAAAATGGCCAAAAAGAGTAGAACCAGCTCACCTGCTTTTACACTATGATTTGACTATTAGATGTTCAATGTTTCTTAAAAATATATATATTTAAAAAGGAATAGTTTCACCATATTAAAGTTCATAGAGTTCAGTTCACGTAACAGGGTTGACCTTAAAATGAGGGACAGACGTACATTATTCACAAATAAATGAAATGAATATCAAAGCAACAACATAACTAGGGCTTTACAATGATGGTGAAAACTTGGGAGAAAGGTTGGGTTAAAATCTTCCTAGAAGTCAGAGGGTGCATGGAGGGAGTGAACCCTCAAAGCTCATCACTAAGCTAAGGATCCTGGGACTAAACACCTCCCTCTGCAACTGGATCCTGGACTTCCTGATGGGCCGCCCCCAGGTGGTAAGTGTAGGTAACAACACATCTGCCACACTGATCCTCAACACGGGGGGCCCTCAGGGGTGCGTGCTCAGTCCCCTCCTGTACTCCCTGTTCACCCATGACTGCATGGCCAGGCACGACTCCAACACCATCATTAAGTTTGCCGACGACACAACAGTGGTAGGCCTGATCACCGACAACGATGAGACAGCCTATAGGGAGGAGGTCAGAGACCTGGCCGTGTGGTGCCAGGATAACAACCTCTCCCTCAACGTGACCAAGACAAAGGAGATGATTGTGGACTACAGGAAAAAAAAAGAGGACTGAGCACGCCCCCATTCTCATTGACGGGGCTGTAGTGGAACAGGTTGAGAGCTTCAAGTTCCTTGGTGTCCACATCACCAACGAACTATCATGGTCCAAACACACCAAGACACGACAAAGCCTATTCCCCCTCAGGAGACTGAAAAGATTCGGCATGGGTCCTCAGATCCTCAAAAAATTATACAGCTGCACTATCGAGAGCATCCTGACTGGTTGCATCACCGCCTGGTATGGCAACTGCTTGGCCTCCGACCGCAAGGCACTACAGAGGGTAGTGCGTACGGCCCAGTACATCACTGGGGCCAAGCTTCCTGCCATCCAGGACCTCTATACCAGGCGGTGTCAGAGGAAGGCCCTCAAAATTGTCAAAGACTCAAGCCACCCTAGTCATAGACTGTTCTCTCTGCTACCGCACGGCAAGCGGTACCGGAGTGTCAAGTCTAGGTCCAAAAGACTTCTCAACAGCGTCTACCCCCAAGCCATAAGACTCCTGAACAGCTAATCATGGCTACCCGGACTATTTGCACTGCCTCCCCACCCCATCTTTTTACGCTGCTGCTACTCTGCTAATTATTTATGCATAGTCACTTTAACTCTACCCACATGTACATATTACTTCAACTACCTCAACTAGCCAGTGCCCCCGCACATTGACTCTGCACCGGTACCCCCCTGTATATATAGCCTCCCTACTGTTATTTTATTTTACTTCTGCTCTTTTTTTCTCAACACTTTTTTGTTGTTGTTTTATTTTACTTTTTATTAAAAATAAATGCACTGTTGGTTAAGGGCTGTAAGTAAGCATTTCACTGTAATGTCTACACCTGTTGTATTCGGTGCATGTGGCCAATAACATTAGATTTTATTTTATTTGAAAAACGAGGAATTTTGGCACTTTAGTAAGTCTTTATAATGTGAGGACTTAGACAACATACCGTTTTGGATTTGGTGAATTTGTCTTCGCACTTGATTGCCTCCTCGGGTGAAACTCTTCTCTTGGACAGATCAATGTAACCTAAAGAGAGAGAGAGCAGGGAAATGAACCATTAGGAAAATACTATACAATACTTCATCATAATGAGAACAAGACAACTAGCCAGGTCCCAGATCTATTTCTGTCTTGCCAAATCCTATGGTTATCTGTGACAGGAGTTGGCATGGTAGCACAAACAAATCTGGAACCAGGCTACAAGTCATCCTATCACATCCACAGCATTCTTCCCCTCACCTTTCTCCTTATCCACTCGGATGACGACCACACACTCGTTGCGTCCGATCCTGATGAGTTTGTTGATGGAGCGGATACGTCTGCGAGACAACTCGCTAAGAAGGATCATGCCTTCAATGTTGTTGTACTCCAGTAGGCTTACGTAGGCTCCCATCTCTGCGATGGAGCGCACGTTGACCATCACCACGTCTTCTACCTCTGGAAACCTGTGCTGGTAGAATCTACAGCTGAGCGACGGCATCCTGCACTCTGTGTGGTCAAGATGACATCAGTATGTGAGTATGCAAGCAGAGGATAGTAGTCATTGCATTCTCATTCTGCCTGTATGTTATCACACTCTCTGCCAAGCAGGCGGTAATGCTTGTAAAATGTAGATAATTATATAGCAAATGATCATGGGCAGAGAACTAACTTAGTAGCTGAACCAGTAAATGAACAGATGTATAAGTTGTAGGAAGACAACCTTTGTTAGTGTATAAGTAGCTAGCTAGCTCACAGTAGCAAACAGCTGCCACAGTGACTGCCAGCCTATTCTGAATGATGATGTTTCTAGCTAACTAGCAAAGCAAATCTATCTAACATTATCTAGCTACAACAAATTCACATGTAGCTAGAAGACGTTTAGAAGAGCACCAGCTGGTTAGCTAACGTTAACTAGCTAACACTTTTGAGTCTCATGCGTTCATCACCACCACCAATCATTCATTATTTCAGAACTTGACACTCAAACGTTACTCACCTTATAGATATAGTATATCTAAAACTTGAGATTGAACTATTTGAATGTCTGTATTATAAGTTATTACATGAATCTGTAGTAATTGAAATGTGTCAGTTGAAGGGATAAAATACTACTATTTCACCAACATGCGCGAACTTGAACTGACCCGGAAGCGGAACTGGAAACATGCGTACCAAAAAATACCATCTGTATTTTAGCAAATGGAGTTGCCACTGAAATTAGCAGTTTTCTATTTCTCCACAAGGTGTCGCCCTGTGAGGGTTTTGAAGCAAGTTCAACAGAAATAATCAAAACTGGACAAACTGGTAGATACACACAGAGTACACAAAACATTAAGAACACCTTCCTAATATTGAGTTACAGGACTAAGATTGAATCCTACTACACCGGCTCTGACGCTCGTCAGATGTGGCAGGGCTTGCAGACTATTACGGACTACAAAGGGAAACTCAGCCGCGAGCTGCCCAGTGACGCGAGCCTACCAGACGAGCTAAATGCCTTTTATGCTCGCTTCGAGGCAAGCAACACTGAAGCATGGATGAGAGCATCAGCTGTTCCGGATGACTGTGTGATCACGCTCTCCATAGCCAATGTGAGCAAGACCTTTAAACAGGTCAACATTCACAAGGCCGTGGGGCCAGACGGATTACCAGGAGGTGTTCTCAGAGCATGCGCGGACCAACTGGCAAGTGTCTTCACTGACATTTTCCACCTCTCACTGACTGAGTCTGTAATAGATACATGTTTCAAGCAAACCACCATAGTCCCTGTGCCCAAGAAAGCGAAGGGAACCTGCCTAAATGACTACCGCCCCGTAGCACTCACGTCGGTAGCCATGAAGTGCTTTGAAAGGCTGGTCATGGCTCAAATCAAAACCATAATTGTGGAAACCCTAGACCAACTCCAATTTGCATACCGCCCCAACAGATCCACAGATGACACGATCTCAATCGCACTCCACACTGCCCTTTCCCACCTGGAAAATAGGAACGTCTATGTGAGAATGCTGTACATTGACTACAGTTCAGCGTTCAACACCATAGTGCCCACAAAGCTCATCACTAAGCTAAGGACCCTGGGAACTAAACACCTCCCTCTGCAACTGAATCCTGGACTTCCTGACGGGCCACCCCCAGGTGGTAAGGGTAGGCAACAACACATCTGCCACGCTGATCCTCAACACGGGGGCCCCTCAGGGGTGCGTGCATAGACCCCTCCTGTACTCCCTGTTCACCCACAACTGTGTGGCCAAGCACGACTCCAACGCCATCATTAGGTTTGCTGACGACACAACTTTCCTCTGAAACTCCTCAGTCTATTCTTGTTCTGAGAAATGAAGGCTATTCCATGCGAGAAATTGCCAAGAAATTGAAGATCTCGTACAACGCTGTGTACTACTCCCTTCACAGAACAGCGCAAACTGGTTCTAACCAGAATAGAAAGAGGAGTGGGAGGCCCAGGTGCACAACTGAGCAAGAGGACCAATACATTAGAGTGTCTAGTTTGAGAAACAGACGCCTCACAGGTCCTCAACTGGCAGCTTCATTAAATAGTACCCGCAAAACACCAGTCTCAATGACAACAGTGAAGAGGCGACTCCGAGACACTGACCTTCTAGGCAGTTGCAAAGAAAAAGCCATATCTCAGACTGGCCAATAAAAATAAAAGATTAAGATGGGCAAAAGAACATAGACACTGGACTTTGCAACTGCCTAGGTCAGCATCCCGGAGTCACCTCTTCACTGTTGACGTTGAGACTGGTGTTTCGCGGGTACTATTTAATGAAGCTGCCAGTTGAGGACATGTTTATCAAATTAGACACTAATGTCTTTGTCCCCTTGCTCAGTTGTGCACCGGGGCCTCCCACTCCTCTTTCTATTCTGGTTAGAGCCAGTTTGCGCTGTTCTGTGAAGGGAGTAGTACACAGCGTTGTACGAGATCTTCAGTTTCTTGGCAATTTCTCGCATGGAATAGCCTTCATTTCTCAGAACAAGAATAGACTGACGAGTTTCAGAAGAAAGTTATTTCTGGCCATTTTGAGCCTGTAATCGAACCCACAATTGCTGATGCTCCAGATACTCAACTAGTCTCAAGAAGGCCAGTTTTCTTGCTTCTTTAATCAGCACAACAGTTTTCAGCTGTGCTAACATAATTGCAGAAGGGTTGTCTAATGATCAATTAGCCTTTTAAAATGATAAACTTAGATTAGCAAACACAACGTGCCATTGGAACACAGGACTGATGGTTGCTGATAATGGGCCTCTGTACGCCTATGTAGATATTCCATTAAAAATCAGCCATTTCCAGCTACAATAGCCATTTACAACATTAACAATGTCTACACTGCATTTCTGATCAATTTGCTGTTATTTTAATGGACAAAAAAATTGCTTTTCTTTCAAAAACAAGGACATTTCTAAGTGACCCCAAACTTTTCAACGGTAGTGTACATGTACAAATTACCTCGACTAACCTGTTCCCCCGCACATTGACATTGTACCCCCTGTATAAAGCCTCGTTATTATTTGATTGTGTTACTTTTTATTGTATTTTTCACATTATTTAGTAAATATTTTCTTAACTCTATTTCTTTAACTGCATTGTTGGTTAAGGGCTTGTAAGAAAGCATTTCTCGGTAAAGTCTACACCAGTTGTATTCGGCGCATGTGACAAATACAATTTGATTTAAGTTGCACTTGCACCCCCGCTTTTGCCCTCAGAACAGCCTCAATTTGCCAGGGCATGGACTCTACAAGGTGTCGAAAGCATTCCAAATGGGTGCTGGCCCATGTTGACTCCAATGCTTCCCACAGTTGCGTCAAGTTGGGTGGTGGACCATTCTTGACACAAACCAGTGTACCTGGCACCTACTACCATACCCTGTTCTAAGGCACTTCAATCTTGTCTTGCCCATTCACCCTCTGAATGGCACACATACACAAGCCATGTCTCAATTGTCTCAAGGCTTAAAAATCCTTCTTTAACCCGTCTCCTCCCCTTCATCTACACTGCTTGATGTGGATTTAACAAGTGACATCAATAAGGGATCATAGCTTTCACCTGGATTCACCTGGTCAGTCTATGTCATGGAAAGCGCATGGAATGGAATGTTTTGTACACAGTGAGAACTTCTTTCTGTTGAATTGACCACTTACATATTACATGTCATGGAAATGAGTGTATACCTCATACCCTTTCCCCTAAGGGAGTGGCTGTTGACTAGACTTGATGCTGACGCCAAGTCTGAGGAGCCTGGCCTTAGTTCAAGAAAATTAATGTAAGTTTAATGGCTCCACCTTGCTTTGATACAAATGTGTCAACGTTTTTAATATCCCTGTCAGATCTTTTAAAGGATGACATTATCATAAAATGAAGGTTTCAATCATACTCATGTTCCATTATCTTATCTATATTGAAGTGTCAATCAACTCTGACCCCAAATAATCTGTTGCCCCTGAAGCAGTACCTTTTGGCATCATAACATTCCTATAATTTCTATAGCAGCTCTTTAAACAGTGCTGAAGAAATAAAAGAACCCACCACTACTTCTATCAATCTGGTCTTTAATCCTCTTGAATAATTCATACAAAAACAGATCTAATTTTTTTAAATACAGTAACTTTATTAATTAGTTCTACTTCCAGTTACCAGCTCAAATCTACACAAGGTGTGCACTGTACATACTAAAGGGATAGACATTCTGAACTAGACTGGTCCCAGATCTGAATGGCCACCATTCTCAAACACTCTCAGAATAGGAGTGCTGATCTAAGATCAGTTTTCCCTTTTTGATAACAATAATAATAATAATGAATAGGGATGACCTGATCCTAGATCAGCACTTCTACGCTGAGAAACCGAATACGGCCCTATGTAGCCAACTTCTATGGCAAACATGACAAATCTTCAGAGGAGCTGCGTAAAACATAAGCAGATCTGGGATCAGGCTAGCACTGAGCGGTTCCTGGAGTTTCAGATCCAAAACCAATAGGGAGGGATGGATGGGTGGTTGAGTGATCATTCTACAGGCGCATTACTCTGTACTTAATAAATCTAACATTACAAATATATAAATGTTAAATATCTAGATACACCATGATTATCATCAATAATAACCACAAAAAAAATGTTATGGGAAACAGTTCTTTGTTAAGACCATTTCCCATTGTGTCTACTAGAGATAATACTTGCCTGCATTAGTGACAGTCCTGTCTCTGTGCATGCACACACACACGCGCATAAAGACAATCACACACAGTCAGCATATTCTAATCAAGGGTGAACCTATGATCATAGAAATACCAGATGCAAAAACAAAAACATACATAAATTTTATACAATGTAGGCCAACAATTTCCCCGCTCCTAAAGCCTTTAGGCTCTTATCGGTTTGGTCAAGTTCATTTTACAGACCCAGAGCAAAAAGTAGAACAAACATTTCAATAACAGCTTTGAAAACAAATCACTGACAAATAATAATCACACATTTAAGATGTCGCATGTGGTGAAAACCATTGGATTAAAATACAGCATAGTTGGATAGTTTTATAATGCATTTAAGTGAATTATAAAACGCATCGATTTCAAATAAAGCAATATTGATTATTAAGAGAATACCACAGACAGTGGTGCTCAGATGTTCCTTAGTGTTTTCTATGAATAGAATACTGCTGGTTACACTTATAGAAATACAATTTAGAAATATAATTCAATTTCTATGGTCACAATCCTACAGATTAGCACAGGAAGTGAGCATGATGAATACTGACATAGAAAAACAAAGTTAACCCCTGAAGATCTTAGTGCCATAACTTTTAAACACCTCTAATCTTTCTTCAATATCATGGTTTAAATCCTGTGATTCGCGACAAGCCAGTTTTCTATTTAGCTATGACCCGTAGTGCTTGGGTAGAGGTGAGGGGTGTAGTGTTGTGTTAGGACTAGTTTATCCTCCAGTACCCTTTTCACACTACTGAGCCGATCCGAGCTGTACTGCACTGGCCTGGTTACGATCCACCATAGTTGCTGGAAAGGAAAATGTGAAAATATCCAAGCCAGCACAGTCCAGTTTTGGTTGGCATGATAGTGTGAAAATAGTATAAGGTAAGCAGGAGGCAGTGGCTCTTAACCATCTCTCAGATCTGTCTAATTAATGTGATGTCAAGTTTGGGTAAATTTTGCATTCGTCTACCTGGAGTGCCAGTTTGGGTAGGGATTGCCGTTTTGGAACAATTCTATTTGTTCCTTTGTGCCAGGCAAGTTCAATCAAGCACAGCTTAAGTATTGTCAATGATTAAAATAGTATTTGAATGCAGGGCTGCTATAGTTTAGTAGACAGAGGATAGAGAGGCCAGATGCAGAGATGTCTAAGTCCCAAATGGCACCCTATTCCTTATATAGTAAACAACTTTGATCAGGGCCCAAAATCTTACACCTGGGTTTTATCACCTCACAGATGGCTTCAGTAGGTGAGCAAATCACGTCCGTGATGATATGTGTAGTAGCCTAATCCCCATTCCCAGCTGCTCTGTTAGAGAGATCAGCAGCACCTTGTTGCTAACACTCAAGATTGACTGATGTCAGTTCGACATTACTGAACAAACACACATCTAACCTCACACACAGGGTCAAGGACACAACAAGGGTACAACAACCAGTGTGTGTGTGTCTGTAGTTTTGTGTAGGAGAACCATTAACTGCCCCCCCCCCCTCCCCTAACAAGGTGGGGGGGGATACCCCCTAACAAAATTTCACTTAGAGCCCACAAAAGGCTAGGGCCGTCTCTGACTGCATGTCTGGGTACGGATGTGGGTACGGAGACACGCGAGCCACTGCGACCCCTCATGATGAGTTTAGATTTTTTGTGGCCCCCACCCCCATTAAAGTTGCCCATACCTGCCTTAGATCGCTTCTATGGGTTCGTCTTATCATTGAAAACCTCTTAAAAATAGAATATATTTACAATTATAAATAGTTATCAAAAGCAGAATAGAAGCACTAATTCTATTTCTGCCACCAAGTGCCAAGTCTTTACATACTTCTTCTCTGGAATGTGAAAAGTTAATTTAGTGAAGAGAAATCCAGCATCGAAAAAAGGACAAATAATCAGAGCAATAATAAGTCAATAATTCATTTCCCCAGGCAGTCTCAGAAGCAAAGAGAAGAGCTTGGCTCAGTTCAGTTCAGCATCATATGTAGTGATAAGCATTTTAAGTGTTTTATTTATCTTCAGCTTGTGTGTTGATTTACAATCTTCCACTAGTCTCACTGTGATACTGGTTGAAGAATGGAGTCAAGGCTAATTTTTAACTAATAATAGTCTTCCCCCTGGCAACTGTATTGTCCATGATCCAGGGTAGCTCTTCATTGAACCAGTGAGTGCTATGTCAAGTTAGCGTTGCGGTGTGTGTGTGCATTTGTATGTATGTGTGTGTGTCAGGTTAGCGTTGTGTCTGTGTTATATTGCTCCTTCAACGTAGCCAGGAGGAGGGGACCCACTGTGGCTCAGTGTCCAGTTTGTTGATGAGCCTCAGCAGCTCCTGATAGGCCTTGTCCTGGTCTGTGTTCACGATGGCTGCATCAAACAGGTGGCCAAAGTTCTGCTCCATCTCACGGGCCTTCTCGATGATGTCACGCAGCTCCTCAAGCTTAGGTGGAGAAAGGGTAGGGGATAAGAGATGGAACACAGAGCATGTTTCACTACGTTAGTTTGATGTCAAGTGAATTAACTTTACTAAGGCTTAGTAAATAAACCTTACTAAAAAGGACCTTTGGGGCTAAAAAAGGACTGAGAAAACAGATTGTGATGTGTTAAAATGATGCCGTACCTTTGGGTTCTTGCTCTCCTTGGCCAGGAGGGCTCGCAACCGTTCTTGGGATGGAGGAGCGATGAAGATTATGTATGGCTTCAGATCAGAGTTCCGCAGAATCTTCAGCGACTAGAGCGAGAGAAAGAAGAGAAGAGAGAAAAGGGGGAGAGAGAGGGGGGGGGACTCACAGTCAGACACAGCAGCAACAGACATTTTATGCTCTCTTAAGGCATCAGCATGCTTCAGCTCGGCTAGCGCCCAGCCGAACTGGGTGATCCGAAAAAAGAAAAAAAAAGAAGTAATAGTACCATTTGCCCATTTTGAGATGCCGTAGCCAGTACACACTTCCTCAAAATAGTCAGAATTAATCTAAGATATTAAAGAATCCCTACTGTTGACCAATCACTGACGAGGGGCGTAGACTTCGGCTACAGATTTCCCGGCTTGCCTCGAAAATGTTTTGTGTGCCCAAACAACTCTTCCAAAGTGTTTCGGCTGGGAAGCATGCAGACACCTTTATCCTCCCTCTTCTTTTCCCAGTTGGTCTGGCTTCACCTTCTTCTCACCTCTCTCTATCCCTCCTTTCCTCCCCTCACCTGGGTGTGCAGACACAGAAGACAGGCCTTGCCCTCTCTCCCTACCTATCCCCCTCTCTCTCTACTCCCCCCCCCTCCTCACCTGTGTGTGCAGACAGAGCAGACAGATCTTGCCCGTGTTGACGAGTTGACGGACAGAGTCGGTGCTGGTTCCGTACAGGTTCTTCTCAAACTCTCCCGACTCGATGAACTTCCCCGCGGTGGCGTCCATGTCAAAGGCCTGGCGGGAGACAAAGTGGTAGTCCCTTCCACTCACCTCCACATCACGCCTGTTCCGCGTCGTGTCTGGAATGAACCCACATTTGTATTGCTTTTAATAACAAAACAATGAACAGGACAGGGGAAGGGGGAACAACAGACAATGGCCACAAAACCAAGGAAAAAGTCTGGAATTAACAAAAATGACATAACATTCTCAGTAACCAAATTCTATACCCTCTAAATGTCTTGAGTAATACTAAGACCGGATGTGTGCAGTTCAAAGGGAAAGTTAACCCTTTAAAATGCATACAGGAATGCACACACACTTACGTGGGACAGCTCCCCCAAATCTGTCTGGCTCGCTGGACAGCAGTCTCTGTCTCAGCTCGTTCTGCCCACAGTTGGGAGGACCAATCAGAGCAATGGGCCGCTTGCGATTGGCTGGCTGGTGGTAGAGCGCCATCTCCTCATAGGTCAGGATCTCCTCGTTGTCATAGTCTGGGGAGGAGCAGAGACACAGACGGTTTTAGTTTCATATCAAACAGCATATCTTTGGATCATGAGAGACTTGGAGACTGAGAGGCCTTTAACTGAAACGTCGACATAGTGCCTTCAGAAAGTATTCACACCTTGACTTACTCCATATTTTGATGTGTTACAGCCTGAATTCAAAATTGATTACATTTGGGGGGGGGGGGGGGGGGGGTTCTCACCCATCTACATTTTTAGAAATGTTTGCTAATTTATTGAAAATGAAATACAGAAATATCTCATTCACAAGTTGGTTGTTGATCATTGCTAGACAACCATTTTCAGGTCTTGCCATAGATTTTGAAGTTGATTTAAGTCAAAACTAACTTGGCCACTCAGGAACATTCATGGTCTTCTTGGTAAGCAACTCCAGTGTATAGTTGGCCTTGTGTTTAAGGTTATTGTCCTCCTGAAAGGTGAATTAATCTCCTAGTGTCTGGTGGACAGCAGACTGAACCAGGTTTTCCTTTAGGATTTTTTACCCATAACATGATGCAGCCACCACTATGCTTGAACATATGGAGAATGGCACTCAGTAATGTGTTGAATTGGATTTGCCCCAAACACTTTGTATTTGCAGTATTACTTTAGTGCCTTGTTGCAAACAGGATGCATGTTTTGGAATATTTGTATTGTGTACAGGCTTCCTTCTTTTCACTTAGTCAATTAAGTTAGTATTGTGGGGTAACTACAATGTTGATCCATCCTCAGTTTTCTCCTATTACAGCCATTAAACTCTGTAACTGTTTTAAAGTCACCATTGGCCTCATGGTGAAATCCCTGAGCGGTTTCCTTCCTCTCCGGCGACTGAGTTAAGAAGGATGCCTGTATCTTTGTAGTGACTGGATATATTGATACACCATCCAAAGTGTAATTAATAACTTCACCATGCTCAAAGGGATATTCAACATCTGCTTTAAATAAAAAATACCTATTTACCAATAGGTGCCCTTCTTTGCGAGGCATTGGAAAGCCTCCCTGGTCTTTGTGGTTGAAATTCACAGCTCGACTGAGGGACTTTACAGATAATGGTATGTGTGGGGTACAGAGATGAGGTAGTCATTCAAAAATCATGTTAAACAACATTATTGTACATTTTTTATCCTGAACTTATTTAGGCTTGCGATAACAAAGGGGTTGAATACCTATTGACTCAAGACGTTTCAGCTTTTCATTTTTAATACATTTGTAAAATTGTCAAAAAACATAATTCCACTGACATTATGGGGTATTGTGTGTAGGCCAGTGACAAACAAATCTAAATTGAATCCATTTTAAATTCAGGCTGTAACAACAAAATGTGGAAAAAGTCAACGGGTGTGAATACTTTCTGAAGGCACTCACTCCCCTGTTATTGTTAATTATTCTACTATAACTTGGGGTCATGCCAACTACAGCCCATTAAAGTAATAATGCTAACTTTCACAGTACATTGTCTCTAGGCAAAAGCTGGCTAAAGTGAGTGGTCTCTTTCTGTAACCCTGGGATATGAGACACGAGTAACAATCAATAGTGTGATGATAAAGGAAGAGTGTTAACAATTCCACATACGTAAGCATTTAAACAAGCAAAGTCTGCACATTCCAGAACCAAAAACACACAGCCCCTCTAGCCATCAGGGCCCATTTTCACAAAGCATTTCAAAGTAAGATCTAGGATTGGGTCTTTCGTGTCCATATAATCTTATTCACTATGATCTAAAATATCAAACTCATCCTAGAACTGCACTCTTACTCAGATGCTGTGCGAATACGGGCCGGGTCATTCTACACCAGCCTGTCTACATCTCTGCTACAGCACTCTACCACACGGCTGGTCTGGGCTTGCCTTACCGTCATTCTGCTTAGCATTGTAAAGGAGCTTCTTCCTCTTCTTCTTGTTCTTCTTAGCACACCACAGCTTTCCCGACTTCTCAGGCTCTTTATCCTCTTCTATGGTCTGCTTCATGGCTTCCCTCTGTTGCTGGAAGCTCTTGCCTGCATTCACAAAGAGGGAGCGATGTTAAAAACTTCTCCAGGCATTGTGAGGTCTGATAATCTGCAAATACGACCTGGAACTGGCCCACTGTTGTTGAGCCCTATTGTGAGGTAGTGTACCTGGTACTAGCCCGGCCAAGGGCTGGTTGTCCTCGTCTCCGTCCCTGTAGGCCTGCCACCAGTTGGGGTCATCCTGGCTGATGATGTGGAGGATGTCTCCCTTCTGGAAGCACAGGCCCAGCTCCCTGCACGGCACATATGGGTCATCAGACGGGTCGTAGTCAAAGTGAGCCTTCACATGGACCTGGTGGAATAGAGGAAACAAGACATGACCTTAGTTTTCTAGTAACTCGCACTGTATATTCTATAATTAAATTCAAGATTCTCCAATCCAAAACAATTGACTGTTCATAATGACATATTCAGTATGTGGTGGTGCATGTGGGAATCAAACCAACATTGGCCATGGGTCAGAACCATGCTCTGCAACCCACTGAGCCATTGGAACCTGGAACAGTGTGATTGCTTCAGACAGACAGACTTCCTAGCCCAGGGGCTGAGAGGAGAGCTGGGGGTCTGGGATGAAGGTGTTTCTGTACTTACCACAGTCTCCTTGATGGGCGGGGGTTTGGTCTGTGGGCTGGGGATGAGGATAAAGGTCAGGTTGCCGTGCATGTCGGCCAGGATGTCGAAGACCTCGTTGACGTCCTTCCCTCTGATCTCCACTCCGTTGATCTCCAGAACCTCGTCTCCTTCATGGAGCAGCCCGCTGCGCTCCGCCGCCCCGCCCTTCACGATGCGGCTTATTATCACGCTGTCCATGTCGTTACGCACCGTCGCGCCCTGCCACACATACAGACAGTGGGGAACAGTGGTTAGTGACGGTGCAGACACAGGAGGGTTTAAACTTTGTTAGAGAGAGATGTGTACAAGCTGTCAAATCCTTGATTCTTCCCGTCCTCGCCACACTCTCAAAGCTCATTGGAGGAGATCTCCGAAGAGAGGGACCTTGGAGCCTCTTCTCCAATAAGCTTTGAGAGAGGGGTGAGAAATTGAGGAAACAAAGACAGGGGGAATCAAGGATTTGACAGCTTGTACACTTTCAGACAGAGTCTATAGCTACTCCTATGTTGATTCATGATAGCGTGTTTTAAAAGGGGTCTCTCTCACCAGTGGGATGTCCCTGGCTTTCTCGATGCAGACTATCTTGACGGTCTCCCCTCCCCACTGGGTGAGAGTTTCACAGTGGTCATCTGGGGTCAGGGGCTCCAGCTGCATCTCCTGCTCCGCAACACAGTCATGGGCCAGAAGCACCGCCTGGGGAGGGACAGGGGACATAGGGTTCATCAGCCTTACTGGGTTCACTTTTAGACAAATACAGACAGGTAGATGCATGCATCTGCACAAGCACAGAGACCTGTGTCTAACAGTACTGTAGTTATTACTTCCAGAGCCTCCTGCTGTTCTAGTTCTGGTGGAAGGAAGACATCCAGGAGTATCCAGGAGGACAAACATTACAAAAGAAGCCTTCATTCAGTAAGTAGTAACAGACTAACAGCCAAAAGTTTCCCTGAGGGACAGCAGGTAAATCATTTTCCACTCCCTCCATCTGGCCCGGTTAGTTACCTCACTTGGTCTACCTCTATGGCAACCCTCAAAACAATACAGGGGGAACCCCCCCCCAACCACCACTCTTCTCCTCCTCCATCCTCACATCCTACTGTGTGGGTCGTGTTCCGCAGGGCACACTGTAGCAAAACATTCAGGTAGTACACCTCCCCTTTCAATCTGTTTAGAATGTTCCCTTCCTATTGAACATGCCCTGGTGTCTCAGAGGAGCAGCATCATCATTGTAGATGTGGGGGCCGGACAGATAAATCAGAGGGAAAGGGAGAAGATGTGTACTGGGCTCAGGGGACGGCAGCTTGGCCATATAGTGTAAATTCAGGGGTAGGAGAAATCAGGTCACTCATCCATGTGAGAGTTAAAGAGAGCGCGAGATCAGGGCTTTGGCACGGCTTCTGCCAAGAGATGGAGCCAATAGTTGATCACAGCTGAACCAACACAGTCCTGACCTGAAGAACCCCAGCCCTGAGAGTCAGGATGATAAAGGTTATACTGGGAGAGAGACAGACAGACGTTACACTGGGACACTGGCACACAGACACAGGTTAAACAGAGATGCACATTACACCTGACAGGTTATACTAGCACCCAGATACACCGCCATTAAAGTGGTGCAGAGAGACAGGTTAGACTAAGACAGACACAGAAGTTACACTGAGACACAGAGACAGACATTAAAGTGGTGCAGAGAGACACAGGTTAGACTGAGACACAGGTTAGACAGAGTAGGAATGGATGGAGGCCTCACCTGGACATGTGGGGAGGAGAGCAGGGTGTTGAGCTCCAAGCCCTCCTTGTGTTGGCTGTTTTGAACCATAGACTGGACCTGGAGGACACACCACAACACAGGAAGTGTAAGAAAGAGGAGCAGGGACAGGAGACACGCCGTCAACTTGAAACACATCTGATGATTTACACCCGAAATTGATCAAAAAGCAGGCCAGCAGCATCTACACAGGAAGGTCGGCAGGGAGGACAATCTGTCATGATTCTTCCCACCTTGATTCAACAGCTGCAATGCCTTTGTTCACCAGAATAGATGGCATACATAGGGTTTGTGTAAAAAAAATTGTTGAGTGGTTTTAACTTTTTCCTTGTGGGGTGCCGATGGGCCTTCAAAGTGCTTTAGAACTCGCCTTAGCTGAGGAGCAGGCCTTGTGTCTCTACCATTAGGTACACAATGGTGACATGGTCCACATGAGGGATGACCAATAGAAAACTCCCTACATACGGAGGACACAACAGTCAAGTTATAGGACAATGTATTTCATCCACATGCATAAACACACACACACACACAAACAAACGTGCGCGCACACACGTGGGGCAAATTCAGGTTTAAGCCCATTTTCTCCTGTTTGGTACCTAATTAATAAAACGGTGGTGGCTCTGGCTACCTGTCAGTGAGTCTATAATGGTGAAGACAGCAGCCTCAGACAAAGAGAGAGGCCCTAATGTAAGTGTCCTGTCTTGTCCAGTCCAGGTCAGTGAGTTTGAGTTCTACATGAGTCTGGGCTCTAATGATGGGGCTGAGTACAAGAGCTGTTCTGTGCTGCTGGGGCAGAATGGACAGCATGAGAGAACAAGAAAACAACAATTAACAAGTTTATTGTGTGTCATTAACACTTCTTCACACTACAGCGATTCCAGGCGATTCCTCAATTAAGTGTCATTAGTGGACAAAATATTCAAAAAGTCATTTAGTACGTTGAAGTGGTTTCTGCCCATTAAAAACATTTACACTGCACACTCTGCTGAACTTCAACTTCAAGACTAGTCATCTACCTAATTTAGGCAACATTTTCCACAACTCCTACAAGTCGTACTTGATCGTGTGTGTGTGCATGCATATATATATCTATCTATATCAGCATATATATATATATATATATATGTGTGTGTGTGAATATTTATGTGCGTGCCTTAGTGCATGTGTTCCTGTCATTGCGTCACACAGACCCTCCTCAGGCCTCACTTTTTGGCCTGTTCGCTTGGCCTCAGATCAAGTTTGTGTGTTTCTGTCCCCCTCCCATTTCCTTCTATTCTAGTTCCCACGCAGTCTGAAGTGGGCCTAAGACCAGTGGAGTGAAGGGTTGATTTGGAATTCGGTATACAGGAGCATTGTTCTGTATTATTCGACCATCAGCCCTAGCTCCATCCTCTTCCCTAGCCCTACTCGGTATGCTCCGGGTAGACGTTGCCCATAGGCAACAGATCCTTGGATCAGCTTACTCCTCCACAAATCCTACCCTTAACCATGTTGAAGAAAACACACTGGATCAGTGTCTAACGGAGTCTTCCTCTTTCTTCCTGAGCCAGTTAATGTTCGGGGCCACATCCGTAGGCACAGATCTAGGAGCAGTTTACCCGTCGCAAGTCCTACACTCAACTGTTACATAGTAATACCGCAAACTGACTTGATATCAGCATCTGGGTCTCACCTCCTGGACCAGGCCCTGATGGCAGTGTGTGTGGGGAAGGGCGGTCTGGGTCGGTTCATGTGCTGCTGGGCCAGATCCGTAAGCACAGATCTAGGATCAGCTTACCCTAACCTTAACACCCCAAACGGACTCCAGATCAGGACTCACCTCTTGTGCCAGGCCCTGAGCGCGGTCTGTTTGTGGGAAGGGCGGGCTGGGCCTGTTCATGTGCTGGGCCACAGAGTTGTGGATGTTGAAGGCCTTCTGGAAGTCAGTCTTCTGGACCAGCTGCAGCACCAGCTCCACGTCCTCCTGGCTCTGGGCGTCAGACAGGCAGTGCTGCACCTGCTTCAGGGACATCAGCAGCTCCTCCAACTCTGTAGGCAGGGACAGGGGGGGAAGGGGGAGAGTCAGGCATACATATACTGCACAGACAGATCAACCATACAAATACAGTACACAAAAGCCAGACAAGACAAATGCTCAGAATCAGGAAAGAATTACAGTGAACTCATACAGGGACTATAGTCAAGACAGGATATTTACATCTGGAATACAACTCCAAAATACTAATATCTTAAACCTTACCAGCTCTCTCAAATCCAGACCCCTCTCTTAGACATATCTGTCCAGTCTAACTAAGACCAAAATAAGGAGATGGTCTGTGTGTGTCTAAAAGGGAGGATCTAAGTGGGAGGCTTGTCATCTCATCTGATTGAGGATCTACTTTCACGCTCCATTGACTTCACTGGGTACCTTCTGTCCTACATATTGTTTTCTTAGGCTAGGCTATATGATATGTATAATTTCAATGCATTATTAACTTGGCAGGAGGAGTGGTAGAGCAGTCAAAGGACAGGAGATGGGGAAGAAAAAGAAAAATAAGGGCAGAAAATGGAGGAGAGGAGGGCCACCCACCCTGGGAGAGACAGCAGCCATTGTAGCCTGGGTCAGAATGTTTTGTAACATACTTTTTAATTAACCACCTCTCACAGGGTCCCCCCCCCCCCTCCCATATCCCCCCTGAGGAATGCTGCTACCACACACACCTCTTCCCTCCCTCCTCCTCCCTCAGTCTCAGTCTTTCCCAGACCCCAGCCTCCCGATCATCAGAGAATTAAGTGGGAGTAAAGCAGGACTCCCTCAGAGAGCTTTAGAAGAAGAATGCACTGACTACAGGCCTATAGACTGCTGTGTGTGTGGGTGTGTTTGTTCTGTCTCATTCATAAGCCTACCTAGAACAGAAACAGTGAACTTGGGTTAAGAGACTGAGGGAAAGCCACAGACAGCTAGAGGCCTATCCAGAATTCCAAAAACGACCCTACCCCCCACATCCACTCCTATAAATCTGAAAGGATTGGTTTAAGCAAAATGGCACTTTCTTCACCTTGTTTTCTCAGCAGAAATTTTGCCAGACTTACATAGTATGGTTGGGGGATAGGGGTCGATTTCAAATTCTGCAAGAGACGACCACTTGCTTGTTAGCACTTTATCCTTGCTAGTGCTCAAGGCTAACGCCAAATAACTATTCTGTTCAGAATCACAACTTAATAGAACACTATTAAATTGTAAGAGTATTCTCATACTCAGTCCTACTCACCCAGTAGAGTGGGGGCCCCAAGGTTGGGCGGCAGTCCCAGGGGCCCTACAGGGCCTTCGATGGGGTCAAAGGTGGGGTTATCGATGCCCACCTTGGGGTTCTGAGACAGCTTCTTGAGCCGTATGGAAGCGTTAAGATCTAGCTCCTGTCTGTTCCTGCCCTCTTCCTCCCTCCTCCTCCTCAGGTCCTCTTGGTGCTGACGGATCCTCTCCAGCTGGGCAGAGCGCCGCACGGGCAGGGTACGGGCACCCAGGTCCCCTGGGCAGTCCACCGCCATCTCCCTGTGCCACTGCTGGGGCTCCTCCTGGTTCGACTCGACTCCTCCACTTCCTCCCCCACCTCCGCCGTCTGACTCAGTCACGTGACCGTTCATATGTGAAGTGGTCATCATTACCACCCCTGCGCCTCCTCCAGTGTGTGTGTGTGTGTGTGTCTGCAGGTGGCTGGCTGGGGGGAAGCACTATGAGGGGTGATCTCTGCGTGTCCTGTGCCCGGCGGCCATGACACCCTGACTCACTACTGATGACTCAGCAGATGCTGGGATTCCAGGAGAGGGGGACACATAGAGAACAGGAAGGTAGGAAAGGTTAGAATGGTACAAAACACAACATAATATGCACATTAGCATGCCCTACACTACCTAACATTTCAATACAACAACAGAGGATTCATAGTCACTCACAATTCCACCAAAAAGAATGAGCTTTTTAGACAATCACTCTCACACACACACCACTCCAGCCCCCAAACCCAATGTCAAAAACCTCTACCCACAACCCAATGTAAACAACCTAACATACACTTTAAGCGGAAGACAGAAACTAGGCTATTTACACAAATAGGCCGACCAGCACAGACAGACACCTAGCTACTACACTTTCCTCTTCTCTCTCTACAGGTCCCTCCCTCTGCCGTCTGTCAGTCTGTTTGCCAGCTGGGTGAGACAGCACAGGCCAAGGACGCCATTATCACCCTGTTATCACCTTATATTACACAGACTGTTTTAAACTAAACAAACACCTTAGCCGTCTCACACACAGAGCACTTTTAAGCCTTGACACAACAAGTGCACTCATGCACATTCGCATTTTCTCAAGAGATGCTGAAAGAAATAAATCATATTTCTCCACTCCTGTTCCTGTGACAAAATTAACATTTGTTGTATCATTTTACTACAAGAAACGCATTATTCTGCAGGAGTTAATATTATATTAGGCTACATGTGAGAGGTTATAGGCCTACAGTCAGAGTCCAGAATTCAGTTACTATTCCATTTAACACATTTGAACTGAAATTAGGAATATTCTGATTATTCATGTGTACAGGGACACCAGTGAGCGGAATATCAAAGGTGCATGTAAATAGCTTATCTCGAATAAGACCTTAAGCAGGCTATGAGCTACTATCCGGAATACTGTGCGCATGTAAACGTGGTCGTTGTTGTGGACCACCAATGTTGTTGTTTTTCTATTAAATAAGTGTGATTCAGAGCAAGTATCGTTCAAAATAAATTTCTGCCCTCTAGATGATTTAGCAGAAAACAGCACTTTGAAATCTACAATAAAAACATTTTGCACTTTATTTTAACAGTCTCTTTTCTTAGCTGTTACAGTAAATCTATCCAAATCAATGTAAGTAAGAACACAAGGGCAGGCTAATTTAAAAGATAGATATTCATTATTAGCCTGGTTCTGTATGGAATGCAGGCACATTATGGGACACAGGCCAGGCCATTATCAATTATCATTATTTATTCATTTTTAATTGGTGCCACCAAATCATGTGCTGAAAAAGTTGGTAGCACCAGTGCCACCAGTGGAAAAAGTTAGTGTAGAACCCTGCAGGAAGACAACCAACACCAGCCAAATCAGGAGTCACAAGCCCAGTGCTGGTCACATGACCCCGGACGCTAGGAGAATAGATAACCTTTATCCCTACATCCGTGGATCCACCCCCCGTCCACATGCCCGGTCACATTCCTATCTACCTAGTTAGTCCAACTCCGAGCTGGACACAAACCTCAGGTCTTGCACTTACGGTATGTCCTTCACAGGCACTTAGTCTACTGTTTCAAGAACAAAACAAGCCGACTAGAATACTATTAACAATATGTACAACAAACACAGAAGGTCACCATTAGTAACACCAAGTCCACAAAGAACACCCTAACCTGCAAAGCAGCCTGTAGTACTCCTGTGTGTTGTTTATGTGTGGGTGTACGCTGGTCAGACACAATTACATCTGCCCTGTCATCCTGTGAATCTGAATAAGATCTCTGGGCCACTCCTTGTCTCACACAACCCCCCCACCCCCCCATCTACTCTTTCTTTACTCCCCCTTTTTGCCTCTTTTTCGTCTGGGCGCCCCCTCTCCCTCCCTCCAATGGCCTCTGCTGTGTGGAGATTACTGTGCTGCAACAGTCCCAGACACGTCTCCATGACAACAGCTTTGTCAGCGGGCAGGAGGTCCCCACTCCACAGCCCTGAAAATTAAAGGAGGCAAAACACAAAGACACACACACACACACTCAAGAAGGGGGAGGACTGTCGAATAAGGGAGAGGAGAAACATAGGGTCCTATGTCCTTACCCACGTGTTGGTTGGTTAGTTGGTGCGCTCTAGTAGTAGGTAGGCTGAGGACTCTCCTCTCTGTATATTCCCCACAGGTAGTGGGTCTTCTCCCAGGCTGTGGATCAGTGGTTATCCCCCTCCTCCTAGGATCAACAGGCAGGCACTCAGTCAGCTAGCTCAGTCAGGGGGAACGGAGAGGACCAGGGAAGGGAGGTGGCAGGGGGGGTTGGGAGCACTGGTGTGTTTGGAGAGAACGCACCACAACCGTGTGTGACAACTGTGTGTGTGTGTGTGTGTGTGTGTGTGTGTGTGTGTGTGTGTGTGTCTCTCTCTCTCTGGCTGGAATTGAAGCGTCACCACACTGCCATTACAGATATCAATACCAACATCATTGTTGCAGACCAGGTTGTGCCGAAAGTAACTACGACATTTTTTAGATTCCTCAAGGTATTATGTGCTGGAACTGTGAAGGTATTTTTTTGTTTATTCTTCAAGGTAGTAGTATGGGGAGTCTACTAATTAAGATATATGGAGGAAGTTGCCCGAGGGAGAAAATATGACCACACTTCTGAGATGTCACTAAACTGCTGAAATGAGAGTTGGGAAAAACATAACACAGGTGCGCCCCCCCCCCCCAGATCTGTGCCTCGACACAATCCTGTCTCAGAGCTCTACGGACAATTCCTTCGACCTCATGGCTAGGTTTTTGCGATGAGATGCACTGTCAACTGTGGGACCTTATATAGACAGGTGTGTACCTTTCCAAATCATGTCTAATCAATTTAATTTACCACAGGTGGACTCCAATCAAGCTGTAGAAACATCAAGGATGATCAATGGAAACAGGATGCACAAGCTCAATTTCGAGTCTCATAGCAAAGGGTATGAATACTTATGTAAATAAGGTATGGGTTTCTTATTTGTAATAAATTGGCTAACATTTCTAAAAACCTGTTTTTGCTTTGTCATTATAGGTTATTGTGTGTAGATTGATGAGGAAAAAAACTAAACGTTTAGCATAAGGCTGTAAAGTAACAAACTGTGGAAAAAGTGAAGGGGTCTGGATACTTTCCGAATCAACTGTATAACTGTCAAACCGCACTACGGAAAATATGCAGATGTTTTTTAGTGCAGAAAAAGTAACAAAAGAATGTAAAGCTAGTAAAGAATCTGTGGTGATGTGGAAGTGAAGCAGCCCATTTGTCCTTGGAAACACACTCACACAGGAGCAGAGCAGACGCTTCGAATGAATAATGTAGTTTCAGTGAGTGACGTAGGTTTAGGTTAGATGAGTAACTGTTACAGTAGCACTCACTGGATGAGTTGGCGCGTGAGGAGAAACACACACTATCCTCTCGTAGCAGAAAATGTATTCTTTTTATGGCCTTGAGTATCCTATTCTCCCATTGTTGTACTACAGAAGCAGAACAGAGAACACTATGTAGATGAAGAAGGCTGACGGCTTCCCCTACATTGAAAGTGTCAGACTTGTCTTTCTACTTACTGACACCTCCGTTGTGTTCAATGGACACAATTTCCATGAGAGTTGGCCAGAGAAGAATACGTTACTCCATGTTCCTTACAGAGCCATGTAAACAAGCACTGACTTGATGCCCAGCCTCTCAAAGCCCATATTGTTACCATTTCAAGAGCATCAATGCAGGTGAAGACCGGAAAATAAGATGTTATGGATTACAACAGTGGTTGAAAACACTGTAAAAACAATGGCCATTCTAAAAACCCTTTGAGTTTAGTTTCCTTTTGCTTTAGAATTACAACTGGTTGTCTAAAACATTTCTAACTTTCAACATAAGGGCTGGCTTCGTCCCTTTCCAAATAACAGCTGTAGCATGGTTGTAATCTGGTGTGATGAGTGTGTATTTGTTTGGGAGAGAGGGTGGGACTAATTGGAAGTAAAGTCTGAATGAATTGAAATCTAGTCTGGTCATCTTCTTGAGAAAGGTATAGGTTTAAGCCTTCTGGTTTATTTACAGTTCTCACCAACACCGCAAATGAGCCATAATCTACACATCCATTCACACATACAGACGGCAGCAACACACACTCCATTAAGATCTTGAGCTAATCTCGTCTGGCAGGACCTTCCCCTCCCCGTAGAGGATTCATGCCCATTAGGCAGGTTAAACACACTGTGCCCTTGGAGTGGACCATCTGTTGCTGTGGGGCTTAGCCAAGCACCTTGGTAGAGTTAGTGGTCGTCCTCCTGGCCTAAAAATCCTATTTAGATTATTCAAATGTATGGGTGATACACAATATAAACTGAGGGTACAAAACATTAAGAACACCGTCCTAAAATTTAGTTGTACCCCTGTTTTGCCCTCATAACAGCCTCAATTTGTCGGGGCATGGACTCTACAAGGGGTCGAAAGTGTTCCACAGGGATGCTGGCCCATGTTGACTCCAATGCTTCCCACAGTTCTGTCAAGTTGGCTGGATGTCCTTTGGATGGTGGATCATTCTTGATACACACGGGAAATGTTGAGTGTGAAAAACCCAGCAGTGAATACCCCATGAATACACCCAGTGGCGTGTATTCATGGGTGCCAAGGGAAGCCAGGCTTCCCCCAAAAATGTACCCAAAAACAATACAAAATAAAAAATTTCAATTCGCAATAGGCTGAATGTATCTCACCGGAGAAAGCCTCAGAGCGAGCTAAACAGCGCCCCTCTGTCTCTGTGTGTACGCCATCTGATGCTGTCTGGTAAAAAAGTATGACATTGTTGCCGCCCGTAGCATTGAATGCAAGGGATGCCAGCGAGCATTTGGCCTCCCTTGATAAAAAAAAGAAATTATAAAATAAAAGCCAATCAGCGTTGAGCTAAACTTGAGTGAGCTCAACTGTGAATGGTCCTGCCGCAAAAAAAAGAAGAAAAAAAAGGGAAGCCAGTTTGGATTTGGCTTCACTCCTATCACGTCAAGAGCATACACGTCATTGACAGAAACTTGAATTGTTGAATATCGTTGTTTTGTTGTACTCTGGTGGCTAGCTAGCAAAAATGGTCCCTTTCCTAAATTAGCCATGGGTGGAGATAGGGAATTGGACTTGTGGTTTTACTTAACTCTCCGTACTGACCAATGATTATAACGGCGATTATGATACAACCATAAAATCATACATTGTGCCCCTGGCCTGAGAGGATGAAAGTTCAAGATGTAGAAGGCTAATGTGAACTACATAACATTGCCCATGAAAGGAAGTTAGGCTAGCGTTTTAGCCAGGTAGCCTAGGACAATAAAAAACTAAAGCGTGTACAGTATGACAGAGTCATAGACCGTTTCGTCAACATGAGAGGATGGCATTGGCGTTTGTTTCACTACAAGTAGGGTGAGTCAATGTGTTTTTCCACTTGAACAAACACACACCAGATCAGAACCATGGACAGCCACATCATATTTAGCTAATGTTGATTGGACTAAATTGTTTTTCAGTATCTTTTAGTTGTCACTGTTTTAGACTAAGCATAGGTGAATTGATGATGTTGAAATTCAAATGGTGCTGAAAGTGGAGGCAGCTCCTGTTTTCTTTACGACTTGAGGTAACTCTCCGTGGTTCTAAATCAATAGTTTTTTAGTAGTCTGAAAAATTAACTTGCTTGACCATGCTGTACACTACCGTTCAAAAGTTTGGGGTCACTTAGAAATGTCCTTGTTTTCCATGAAAACATACATTAAATTAGTTTTAACAGGAAAGACAGCAAAATACATAGGAAATGTAGTCAATGACAAGGTTAGAAATACTGATTTTTAATAGAAATAATTGTTTCTTCAAACTTTGCTTTCGTCAAAGAATCCTCCATTTACAGCAATTACAGCCTCGCAGACCTTTGGCATTCTAGTTGTCAATTTGTTGAGGTAATCTGAAGAGATTTCACCCCTTGCTTCCTGAAACACCTCCCACAAGTTTGGATTGGCTTGATGGGCACTTCTTACGTACCAAGCTGCTCCCACAACAGCTCAATAGGGTTGAGATCCGGTGACTGTGCTGGCCACTCCATTATAGACAGAACACCAGCTGACTGCTTCTTCTCTAAATAGTTATTGCATAGTTTGGAGCTGTGCTTTGGGTAATTGTCCTGTTGTAAGAGGAAATTGGCTCCAAGCAAGCGCCGTCCACAGGGTATGGCATGGCGTCGCAAAATGGAGTGATAGCCTTCCTTCTTCAAGATCCCCTTTACCCTGTACAAATCTCCCACTTTACCACCACCAAAGCATCCCCAGACCATCACATTGCCTCCACCATGCTTGACAGATGGCTTCAAGCACTCCTCCAGCATCTTTTCATTTGGTCTGCGTCTCACAAATGTTCTTCTTTGTGATCCGAACACCTCAAACTTCGATTTGTCTGTCCATAACACTTTTTTCCAATCTTCCACTGTCCAGTGTCTGTGTTCTTTTGCCCATCTTAATCTTTTCTTTTTATTGGAACTCTGCCTAGAAGGTCAGCATCCCGGAGTCGCCTCTTCACTGTTGACGTTGAGACTAGTGTTTTACAGGTACTATTTAATGAAGCTGCCAGTTAAGGACCTGTTTGGCATCTGTTTATCAAATTAGACACCGTCTTTGTCCTCTTGCTCAGTTGTGCACTGGGGCCTCCCACTCCTCTTTCTATTCTGGTTAGAGCCAGTTTGCGCTGTTCTGTGAAGGGAGTAGTACACAGCGTTGTACGTGATCTTCAGTTTCTTGGCAATTTCTCGCATGGAATAGCCTTCATTTCTCAGAACAAGAATAGACTGACGAGTTTCAGAAGAAAGTTATTTGTTTCTGGCCATTTTGAGCCTGTAATCGAACCCACAATTGCTGATGCTCCAGATACTCAACTAGTCTCAAGAAGGCCAGTTTTATTGCTTCTTTTAAATCAGCACAATAGTTTTCAGCTGTGCTAACATAATTGCAAAAGGGTTTTCTAATGATCAATTAGCCTTTTAAAATGATAAACTTGGATTAGCAAACACAACGTGCCATTGGAACACAGGACTGATGGTTGCTGATAATAGGCCTCTGTACGCCTATGTAGATATTCCATTTATTTATTTTAAAAAATCAGCTGTTTCCAGCTACAATAGCTATTTACAACATTAAGTGTCTACACTATTTCTGATCAATTTGATGTTTTAATGGACCAA